AACAACAGGCATGTGCCTTCACACCCAGCTAACTTTTTGATTTACTGTAGAGATGAAGTTTCACCAAGTTGCCCAGGCTAGTCTTGAACCCACGGACACAGGCAATCCTCTCACCTCGACCTCCCAAAGTGCTGGGATTCTAGGCATGAACCACCACACCTGGTCAAATTTAGAAGATTTTAGAACTAAACTTTAAAATCTTGATCAAATGCATATTCAATTCAACAATTAGAGAATATATGCTTTTCTAGCATACAGTTTTTTTAGAAACAGTATGTCAGGTCCTAAAATATGAGGCAAATTCAACAAATCTCAAAGAATCAGTAATTATCAGATTTAGTTTAATTAAATAAAAACTTAAAAAGTATAGATAAAGTATGAAACTACACATATCAAAACATGTGAGATCAGTGAAGTCAAAGTAAAACCTAGGGGGAACAGGTAGCCATATTAGTCAGGGTTCTCCAGAGGAGTCGAAACAGTAGGATGTGTGAAGTGCGTTTGTGAACAAAGAGAAAGAGACAGAGTCAGAGAAAAAGAGAGAGAAAAGGAGATTTATTATAAGGAATTGGATCAAGCAATTATGGATCCTTGCAAGTTCAAAGTCTACAGTGTAGACCAGGTGGCCAGAGACCCAGGAGAGTTGACGGTGCAGGCAATGTCTAAAGGAAGACTGCTCTAAAATGCCCTCTTATGCAGGGAGAGTGGGTGTTTTTGTTCCGTTCAGGCCTTCAACTGACTGAATGAGGCCTTGTCACACTATGGAGGGCCATCTGTTTACTCAGAGTTCACCCACATAAATGTTAATCTCATCCAAAAACATTCTCCATGCCGACATAAAATTAATCACTACAGTAGCCTCAAATATTTAAATTGGAAGAAAGCAATTCTGAAGACTAATGAACTAGGCATCCAACATAAAGTAGAGGAAGGACAGAATAAAACAAAGTAAAGGAAGGAGAGACAAGCATGAGTGTTAATAGTTAAAATATATATCTGAAGTCAACAGAATCTGAAATTGTTTCCATGAAAACACTAGTTACTCCTCTGGCTGGACTGATCAACAGAAAGAGTTATATAAGAGTTGTACAAATAGCCGGACTTGGTGGCTCAGCCTGTAATCCCGCACATTTGGAAGGCTGAGGTGAGTGAATTGCCTGATCCCGCGGGTTCGAGACCCGCCTGGGCAACTTGGCGAGACCGCATCTCTACAGTAAAACAAAAAATTAGCCGGGCGTGGTGGCACATGCCTGTAGTTCCAGCTACTCGGAAGGCTGAGGCGGAAGGATCGCCGGAGCCCAGCGGGTCAAGGCTGCGGTGGCCGGGAGCGGCCACTGCACTCCAGTCTGGGCAGCAGAGTGAGACTCGCACTCAAAAAAAAAAAAAAAAAAAAAAAGGAGTTGTACAAATAAATACTGTTAAGAAATGGGCATAACTACAAAGTCATAAAGATTAGAAATTGAATAACAGATACTATCTCAGGCTTAAACAAACAAAATCGAAAAATTCAGAGGAACAGAAAAATTCCTTAGAAAAGTATATCAAACATAGCTCAAAAAAATAGAAAGCAGGAAAAATTATACAGACATTGAAGATATTCAATGGATATTTTAAATTATTTCCACAAAGGGAGCAACATGTCCCAGATGAATTTACAGGAAGCAAATTATCACAAAATTACCTAAACATCTTCATAGATTTAAACAAAAATCCACAACTTATTTAAATAAGTTCAGAATAACTGATACCAACTTCAGGCAAAAATGGTGCTGGAAGGAACCTTAAGTTCTATCTCACTCAAGAACATCACTGCAAGAAACTTCAAATAAAATATTAATCGACATAAAATTAGAAAACATTTTGGAAGAAAAACAGTTTCAGAAGTCTTTCTCTATCACAGTAAGATCTATTTTAAAGTTTTAGTTGTACAGTAAGTCCCCATATATGAACCTTCAAGTCGCAAACTTTCAAAGATGCATTCACATATTCAATTATGTATTGTACTACTGTACTTTTAAAGGTATTATACTGTAAGTCTTAAAATGTATTATTTTTGGTGGGTTTTTTAATGTATTACTCTGTGAAAGGTATTATAAAGGTACAGTACTATAGTCAGTTATATTAGTTGGGTACCTAGGCTAACTTTATTGGACTTATGAACATGTTCTCAGAACAAAATTTGTTTGTATAAAGGGAGCTTCCTGTAATCAAGAATATTTACTATTGACACAGAGATAGATTTACCAATCGAACTGAATTGCAATTCCAGAAATCAATCCATCCATACATGAAAACTTGACAACATGATATTGTAGATAATTGAAGAAAGGGTGAACTATTCTGTAAATGATGTCCTGACAATTGATTTTTTATTTAGAATACAAAATTTAATTATGATTCCTACCTGACATTAGGCACACGACTCAATTCCATATGTGTTTAAAGATTTAAAGCTAAAGTTTAAATTTACAAGTATTTCAAATACTTGAAGGCAAGCAAATGCTTTATTCCCTTGCGAAGATCTCTTAACCAAGACATGGACTCTACTAACCATAAAGTAAAAGATTGCTAGAAGACTGTATAAAGAATGTAAAAATTAAACCACCTATTGGAATAAGATATCCTCAATATATTTATTTAAAAGAATATTATCATTCAGATTATATAAAAAAACTATATATCAACAAGAAGATGATACATAATAGAAAGTTGAGTAATATACATGAAAAAAATTCATAATAAAGGAAACAGGATAAAAGCAAAAGAATAGTATTAAACCTTATTAACTATTAAGATGAATAAAATATATTTTTACATACATATCCTTGGCAATTAAGTCTGTCAATACTAAGCATTAGCAAGCTTGTGAATAACAATTTAGATTTATCTTGTAAGTATTTAAAAACCCTATGACTAGCAATCCTTTTTCTAGATAGCAACAACAACAAAAAGTTCTTATATATGTTCACCAGGAAACATTTAAAGACCATTTGCAGCATTATTATTCATAGGACAAATTTTTTTAAAACCCTGAAAAATAACTCAAATGTCCACTAACAGGGGAGAAAGTGTAAATCTATTGTGGTATATTTCCACAATGATATATCAAACTGCTTTTAATAAAAACTTGTGAAATACCATTATAGTATTTTATATGCAACAACTTAGATATATTTTGGAGCCATAGTATCAGTTTAAAAAAAAAATCTGAGGGAGGCCGAGGCAAGAGGATTGCCTGAGCCCAGGGGTTCGAAACCAGCCTGGGCAACTTGGCGGGACCTCGTCTCCACAATAAATGAAAAAATTAGCCAGGCGTGGTAGTGCACGCATGTAGTTTCAGCAACTTGGAAGTCTGAGGTGGAAGGACCCCTGAGCCCCGGGGATCAACGCTGGGGTGGCCATGAGCATGCCACTGCACTCTAGCCTGGGCGACAGAGTGAGACTCTGATTAAAAAAAAAAAAAGGAAAAATCTGGTCACTAAAGCTTATTTCTATAGTCATGAAAACAACATGCTCTTCCTCTAGCCTAGTGGTCCAAGAAAAAAAACCGCCCCCATGTACGGAATAAATCATCACCAGAATTATTTTTAAAGCAATTGGGGAAATATCCTAATATGTACACACATTAATAGATTGTCATATACATAACAGACAAAAAAATTTTAAAAAAGAAAGAATAACACTTTAGATTCATAAACACATCTTATTTAACCATGGTTTGATGTGGTCATAATACATGATGTTGATGACATACATAGAGAAGGGACTATGGTCAGGATATTTCTTGCATTCTTTCTTACCTTAATTTGTGAACATAGCCTTAGTTGTTTTTGTTTGTTTGCTTGTAACTATACAATCAATTCTTTTATATGGTTTTCTAGGAAATTTAATGGCTTAGAGTCAAATAGAACAGGCAACCGTGATCGTGAATTCTGGTAACCTTTGTACAGTAATTATGTATTTCAAACTAAAGATTAGATTCCAAGATTGACTTCATATGCATGAGTAGAAAATCCATATGCATCAATAGAAAGTTCCTCTTGAAACGCCTGAATCTATTATTCTTAGTACTATTGGCCTTGATTGTCTTTTTGTTTGTAAACATACATTCAATTTTTTAAAACAGTTTTCTAGATAATTTTATCGCTGAGAGTCAATAGGACAGCCAACCCTGATCATGAATTCTGATAACATTTGTACAATCATTATGTATTCTGAGCTAAAGCTTACAGTTGAAGACTGACTTCATAAGCATGAATTTTCAACCTCAGGAGAAAATTTTTCTTGAAACCCATGAATCTATTACCCTTAGTGCCAAATGACTTAACACTGAAGAGAAAGTAGGAAATAAGCCATTCAGCGGGCATCTTCTAAACAATAGAAGTAACAGTGACCCTGTGATGTCTTGTCATAGAGATGAACACCAATCTCAATGAAGGTCATAAGAGTTGGACTACCCATCTCTGTCAAAGCCAGCAGAGTTGGACTACCCACCTCTGTCAAAGCTATGATACCAAAGTTTTGTAATGTGATGCAATTGTATCTGATGTCTTTTCTACTACAAACTTTCTCTCTTGAAATTGTAGAATGGCAGCATGTGTTTTCAAGAAAGGGCACATCCAAAAGCTACAATCTGGTACAAGCACTAGCCTGGCCTTTGTATCACTAAGAAAAAGTAAGTAATTAAACTTGTTTCATCCTCTAAGGTATACTGCCAAAGGAAAAAAAAATCTGCTACAAAAACAAATCTCTCTAATTTCCCTGACTTATATTCCATATTAGCACTTATGACCTTTTCTTAAAACTTTAAGTATCACAAAGAAATCAGTGAGAAAGGAATCATGTGCTGACCAAGTTCTTAAAGGGCAGAAAAACTCACTGAAGTGAAAGGGAATTAGTCAAGGGTGGAACAGAGGACCAGCCCCTCCCAGTTTGAGGGAGCAGATTTGGTATTAGTTAGGCAGAAATTCACATGCAATTAACAGCTCTGACATCAGGGGACAAGCAAATATAAAACACTCAGCTCTAGGGGAAGTTCAGCAGAGAAACCCCTCGGGATTTGAAGGTACTACAGGGAAGCCCCATGGGAATGGGTGGACTCTTGCTGGAGCTCTATTAAACTAGGGGACTTAAATCACAAAAATTAACTTGCTGGGAATCTGCTCCCAATTCTTCTTTCAACTCCATGGTTAAATGTAATTAATGGTACTTATGGATGCTAATGGTTGCTTCTGATCAATGATATCCAGGATTAATGAAGAATGCTAAATGACTAAGACAGGGAATTTAATCATGTAGGTATTCTCCATGTCAAAGTTTTAGAGGCAAATTACTATTTTTATTATTTGTTTGAAATGTCATTCTATAGATATGACTCCATTTTGGAAGTGGGTGGAAGGGGCATAGACCATATATCTTTGCATGATTCCATTTTGCTTTCTCGTTTTCAGCTGGACTTTTATCTGTGTGTCTCAGTCTTCTCTACAGAAAGGCCCACAAACCAGATCTTTCTCCTGCCCTCTAGCTGCAAGCAGAATGAGAGCTCCTCAACTCTCTCTGGGCTGTGTCTTTGTCCCCCTGATGCTTTTTCAGCAGGCCGGGGCTCAGTTCCCACGAGAGTGTGCCACCATCGAGGCGTTGAGAAGTGGTATGTGTTGCCCGGACCTGTCCCCTGTGTCCGGGCCTGGGACCGACCGCTGTGGCTCCTCGTCAGGGAGGGGCAGATGCGAGGCAGTGACAGCAGACACCAGACCCCACAGCCCCCAGTACCCCCACGACGGCAGAGATGATCGGGAGAACTGGCCCGTTCAGTTCTTCAACAGGACGTGCCGCTGCAATGGCAATTTCTCAGGACACAACTGTGGGACTTGTCGTCCTGGGTGGAGAGGAGCTGCCTGTGACCAGAGAGTACTTGTGGGTAAGTGGGGGTGTATAGGGGTTGGTTCACAGCACTGCATGAGATGCAAGGCTCTTACCAGAATCCTGATCATTCGAACTGGAGCAATACCTACCTGGACATCATATAGCTCGACCCTCTCTTCACAGTTGAGGTAACTGAGTCCTAGAAAGTTTAAGAAACATGTTCAATTTAAAAAGTCGGGGTTGAGGCTCAGAAATTCTGACTAATATTTCCTTCCAAAGCATCTGTTGAGCAACAGAAATATTAGTCCGAATTTCTGTATGCTAGGAACTGCTGTGTTCAATGTTTACAGCTAGACCTTTCAGTAACTCCTTAAGGTAAATACGTTCGTTGTCATAGGTGAGGCTCAGACAGGTCAAATCACATAGCTTGTACTTGGTCAGCTCAGAAATCACATTGAGATCTGTCTGGCTCTTATATTTCAGCTTCTTCCACTACCCCACTGATCAACCAAGACATTTCCCACCATGATTATGAAATTCAGATATCTGAGATGAAGAATCTGACCTGCAGCCTAAATAGCATTAAATAATAAAGAACTCTGTCCAAACAGCCAGCAATATTTGATTGTTTGTCTATGTGCCAGATACCGAACTGAGAGTTTAGCAGAGCATTTATTGAGTCTTTATTATAAGCCAGTCCCTGGTCTAATTGCTTTTCATGTGTTGGCTCTTTGATCTTGACAACTTTACAAAGCAGGTATTATTTTTATCCACACTTTACAGATGAAAAACCGAGGCTTAGAAAAAATGTTGTCAAAGTCCAAGAACAATTCTCTGGTCTTAACCGCTATGCAGTACCACCTATCTTGTTTTTGCAAGATTTATGATGTTAAAAATGGTAGAACATGTCAAGGAAAAAAGCCAACAGTTGGCAGAAATAAGCATGACAAGGTCATAGAATCATAAAATCCATAGGTAGGATTAAAGAAAGCTAATAGAAATCCTAGAATAAATTGGAGAGAGAGAAAGCGAGAGGAAATGGAAAAAAAGAGAGAGAAAGCAGACCCGAGGAAGGAGTTTTACTTGGGGGTATATTTTAAAGTATAGCATAATTTAAAACATATTTGAACACACAAACAGATAATCTTTCATGGATAAATTGGTCATGGTAGGTTACAAGATGATTATGCGTCACTCTACCCATCCCCTCAAGGCAGATGTTCTCATGCTTGAATTTTGTATCCTTCAAGTCAGGAGAAATCTTCTGGACTTAAGTAGAGAAGAAAAGAACCACTTTGTCCAGGCCCTGGATATGGCGAAGCGCACAACTCACCCTTCATTCGTCATTGCCACCAGGAGATCAGAAGAAATACTGGGGCCAGATGGCAACACGCCACAGTTTGAGAACATCTCCATTTATAACTACTTTGTTTGGACACACTATTACTCAGTCAAAAAGACTTTCCTTGGGGCAGGGCAGGAAAGCTTTGGTGAAGTGGATTTCTCTCATGAAGGACCCGCTTTTCTCACATGGCACCGGTACCATCTGCTGCTCTTGGAGAGAGACATGCAGGTATGTAGAGCACGTTACTATTTTCAGGCCCTTGACTGATAAGGTGTTTAGATTGTAAATCATTTTCATGCACTGTTTTGCTGAGTAATCGGAATGAGATGACAAAGCAATTTCATGTTTTCCCACTGCCGTGGACATAGTTAGTTACCTTACTCTTTGTTTTGATCACTTATTCATTAACCTTTGTCCTTTGTGAAGGGAAAAGAAAGTGATATCAAAAAAAAAAAAAGAGGCAGCCAATTGAGACACTGGTAGGCGTTAAGTTATAAGTTTGAAAATATTCTCCAGTCCCATAATTGCAAAAATGACTTTCATAAATTTTGAAACAAAGGAATCTCATCTGACATATCTTCCTTCTCTACCAAATGTCAGCCCATATACCCTCCTGATCTGAATGATGTGGGATGTGTATATACTTCTTGGTCTTTCCAGCCCCAAATGTATATCTCATCTTCCAGTGGATGACTCCTTCTTATAAGGTATCGAGTCCAAAACAAGAAGAAAAAAATCCTTTCCATGTAGATGGTCTTTTTTTAAAAAAATTAAAGTACATTTTTTTCCCATACCCCTACCACTTTGGGGGCTTATAAAGAAAGCTATTTAAAGACTTCATATCACTAATATTAGATAACTTATATGTTAATTTGCTCTTACTGTAGTCATCACTCTACTATGAATATGTATATCAAGACTTCATGTTGTACACCTGAAGTATATATAATTTGAAAATAAGACTGAAAATTGCATTGGTCAGACATTATTTTTAATGAAAAGACATTGATTCTTTGGGGCAGGCATGGACTGAACCTCAACTAGAGCAGTTATTTTGTGCTTGTTTTGAAGCAGACAAGCTCAAAATACATTGAAGTATCTGGTAACATAGATACTTTATTCTTGTTTCTTTTATCAGTTGCTCTGTTTCTTGAAAAAGTATTGCTAATTTAAAATAAAAATTTACATTATAAACTTCCACCAGGAAATTCACAAAACATCAGGGACACCCCCTCAAAAAAATGGAATTTATTTATACAAAAATGTGTACTTATCCTTACGTGTTTAAATTTCAGTCATCTTCAAAGTACTCTCCATTTGATGCAATACACTTATGGAAACACTTTTTTCACTGTTCAAAACAGCTTTTGAGCTCATCAATTTTTATGCCCTCTAGTGTTCCTGCTATTTTTTGTTTCATCTCTTCCACATGAGCAAAACGTTTCTCTTAGAGATCTTTTTCATCTAAGGAAACAAAAAAGATGTTGCTTGGGGTGAAATCAGGTGAACAGGGAGGGTGGGGCACAGAGGTCTTGCCATATTTGGTCCAAAATTACTGAACACTCAGTACCGTGTGGGCAGGTACACTTGTAAATCACCCATCAGGAAATGGCCTTGAAATAATCTTAAAAAAAAAAATCTTTGAAGCTGAAGGCAGCCTCTCACAACTACACTAGCCAGTACACTGATGTGATAGGCTCCTATAACACTAACCTAGTGGAGGAAACCAGTACTACAAGAGACCTGCCCTCCAAAAGGTAATTCTGGTTTCTGGGGGGCCACCGCCTCTGAAACCTGTTTGTTTCTATGTGAAATAAAATAACAGCAATGAATATCTCCCCCCAAGTTAAAATCTAAAAATCGACCTAAAAATGTCTGGAAACAGAAAAGGTGTTTAGAGTCATGTGTTGATTTGCAGGATGCTTGTGTCAGCATTATTCTAAGAGGGAAAAAAATGACTAGAAGAAAGAGAATTAATGTGCTAAAATATAGAATAAAATATTCGTTTGAAAGTAGTTTATCCACAGGCAGTTTGAAAGTGATTAAGTGGATCCCTCTGATACTCTGAACATCATATTTTATAGCTCTGATTGCAAGTAAGACATTTAGTAGATTATGAGTAGATAAATCTGTCATTTGTAATTGACTACAGATCTCCATGCCTTCATGTCATTTTCCCATGGGCACACCAAAATGAAAGGGCAGGGAGAAAGTATCTAAAAGCTTCAATTTTGCCTGTGTAAACTTCAACCTCTATGACTTACATTTTTAAAACCCAGCAGCATGAGGGATCCAACAAATTACAATCTAAAAGTAATGCACGGTCGAAATGCCACATGAATATGCTCTGACTCCCAAATGTCACTTGCTGTACCACAAACCCACTCTTAATGATCCCTTGGAAGCTGTCACTAATTTTTGTGAACCACAGTGATGGCTTTTCAAGGACTACGGACCTCCTGAGACCAACAAATGGGGATGATTTGGAAAGCTCTGGGCCTCTAAAAACACCCAAGGTTAAGGAAATGCTTCCCTGAAAGGGACTCAAAGTGAAAAAGCAGAAATGTACTGAGTGCTTGAGAGGTAAGATAAAATTCTGCCAATTCCCCTATTTAAATCCTGCATTCTAAATATAGCTCCCCAAAGGCCAAAAGAGATGAGAAAGAAAAAAAACGCACAAATGTATATGTTTTAAGAAACCCGACAACATAAATATGTGAGTTTGAGCCCAGTACTTTTAAAAATGTGAGATCAGCTGTAAATGGAAACTAGGTCTACGGCCTAAAGAACAATAGGCACAAAGATGTATTCTGCTTGTTTCACATTTTTGTCTGTATGAGTTTTAGACAGAAGCCTGAGTATTAATAGTTTAGATTCTGAAGGAGGGGGTCCCTAAATAAAATGCCTGTCATGCCCAGTGTGAAAGAGTTCACGTGGCTTGTGGCCAAACCAGACTGAAAATGCCTAAAGTCATTCAATTAAATTTAAAAACGTAAGCAAGACAAAAATTACAGTACATCAAAACATATGTCAGGCCTGCATGTGGTGAGTGATGCTTGAATTAAAGACAGGAAAATGAAAAAAGATGGAAATATCAAAAAGTAGATGATCATATTGGTAATTTTTTGTATAACCAATAGAAATGAAATTACGTGAATATAAAAAGAAAAATACCTCTTTTGCCTTTCAAATCATTTGCAGAAGTTTAGGCAGAATGAGTTAAGTTTCATCCCTTCTGGTACCTAAATAACTGCTTGAAATAAATTACAAACTTTGTTAAATAAGGTATTTAACTCCCCAGACCTCTTAGTTAAACCAAGCAAAGAGGAGGAATTGTAAACAGAAACAGAGAATATTAACAAAGATTCTGTCCTCTAGGATATGCTGCAAGAGCCTTCTTTCTCCCTTCCTTACTGGAATTTTGCGACTGGGAAAAACGTCTGTGATATCTGCACTGATGACTTGATGGGATCGAGAAGCAACTTTGACTCCACTCTTTTAAGTCCGAACTCCGTCTTTTCTCAATGGCGAGTGGTTTGTGAATCCTTGGAAGACTATGATACCCTGGGAACGCTTTGTAACAGTAAGTTCCAAATGACACCTGGGTGTCCGAAAAGAGAGTAAATATGCTGTCTGAATGCCCTTCATTCCATTAGAACATACAGATTAAAATCCACTTTGTTATAGAGAATCAGTACAGATATACCTTAAGCACTTCGAATATTCCAGACAATTTATAAGGTGCTCTGAGGGAAGACACATTTTTGCATTGCTTTTCTCCAGCAATTTGGTCAGTGCGTGGCTTACTTCCTCGTTTTGGAAATGTCTCGTGTTATAAACTAATCCTCTTAGCTCATTTTAGCATTGTCTAGCCGTCATGTGTCTTGTGTTGGGATTTCACAGAAAATGTTTCCTACGAAAAGAAAAAGAAAAAAATCCCTTATGCTTATTGAGTTGAAAAGCCCAAAGGATGCCAGCTAGCTGCTTTCTAGAGTTCCCCAAACGATCACACTGAAAGAATTCCTAACCTGTTGTCCCAGAATCCTTTCTCCAATGACCTGAATGCCACCTCTGTCATAGGTTGTTTCTGTCATGCGTCAATCTATTTTGAGTTTCCTATTCTCTTCGTCGGATCATATTATTATCTGTCCCTGTGCGAAAAACACAGTTTGTCAGACTTTTTCTACCCCATCTTACGTTTCTTCTTCAGGCATGTGGGGCTATTTAGAACTTTAGGTCTTCCATATAAAAAGTAGCATCATGTAAATATATTTTATGATTATAGTCTTGTTCTGCATATAATATTAGATGCATCAAATATTTAATTATTTATAAACTTACAAAATAATATTCTAAATCGATTAGGAGGAATTAGGTATACTTCACAATTAGAAGGTTATTTCGCTGTGCGTAGGAATAAGAGAAGTGACAGTATATGAAATTTTCATCTGTAGGTGTTTTAAAATGAGAAGAAGTTTTTGTTTGATATGCTGAATAAGTGGTCCCACCTTGTGGCAGAGAATTGAAATTGAGGATCAGAATAGCTTCAGAGCCAGAGCATTCATCTCTTTCTGACCGGGCTACTGTGTTTTGCCCTGGAAGTTTTCCAGACATTTTCTAATCACCTTGATGATTACATGTCAAAATAAAACACAATTGAAATGGATAAATAAAACTAGGAAAGGAGGAAAAAAAGAGGAAGAGATTTTGTTTTCTTCACAGGTGTTTTTGTCAATTAATTTAACAAGACACAGTTTTGTTAACTCAGACACATAGTTTCATGACAACTCAAAGATTTTTTCATTCAGTTTAAACAGATTTTAAGATTACTTCTTGTCTCAGTTTGAAAGATAAATACCAGGCATTTTATATTTTAGGCAAGGGAAAGAAAAAAATAACATTTTATTGGACACATATCAAGTGACAGGTATGGTGTCAGATGTTTTGATACGGTATTCTATTTAATCCTCAAAGCAATGATTCCCTCTCCATACTTTTCTTCTTGGGTAATCTTATCCGTTGCTGTGGTTTCTTGGGCATCTTTTATAGGAGACCCCTACATGTGTATCTTTCTGATATATCCCATGCCTATGTCTTAACTTGTTTCTTGCAGTCTCTCTCCAATATTCCATTACTACACCAAGCGTGGTAGATGGAAAAAGCGAATTATTATACCTAACATCCTTCTAACCATGAAAATATCATCTTTGATTCACCAGATTAAAACATATTGTCCTTTCTTCACAATACTTCTCAAATCTATTGCCTCTTTCAGATATTTGCGACTTTCCATTTTTGGGGGTGGAAATTCCACGGGACCTCTGATCCATAGGTTGTTTATAGATGCAGTGACAGAAGTTGTCCACGTGTAAATAAATGTAGAAATCACCAGAGTAAAAATGAACTAGATTTGACAAATTTCTTTACTATCAGAATATTCCACGATGAAACTCCATGTGGGCAAATTAAGATGTAAGGTTTTGAAACCCAAGTAATCAACATTTGTTTCTTAGGGTTTATTGAGCAGTAATCCCCAAAACATCAGCTTGAATGGATAGGTTAGCTTGTGGTGTCTGGAAGTTTTTGGTGATATGCTTTATTTATTTATTATGTAAAGTTTGTTTATGCTAATTTATGAGCTTCTAATTACTGGGTTAATTATTTAGCATAGAACAAAGGAAGCTTTATGAATGAAGTAAAAGAAATATTCCTTAAAGTTTGAAATATCTCTTTAGTGGATTATTTAGCTTGTCTCTCTAGGGAGCATATGTTTCTCTCTGGAGACTACTGGGACAGTCTGTTGCAAAATACTCCCAACCAATGTCCTCTCCTCCCGCCAGTCTAAGGCTTTCATTTCTTTCCACTTCCTGTTGAATAACCATGCCTTTCTCATCTTTGTGTTTGCATTTTTTCACAATACAGTTTTGGCCTATCTTCTCATCTTTCCCACAGTTCACTACTCGCCTACATTGCCACGTAGAGGCAAGTGATTTCCCAAACAGGCATTTTTTTTTTACAGCTAACATAGCTTTCCCATATAATGACATGCGCCAAACAACTCTTCAGTATCTCCTTTTTATTCCAATGTCAAGCGCTGTGCCAAGTCTGAGGGATACACAGGCATTTTCGTTATAGAGGGGGAATTTTGTTATAGATAGAAGAGAGTTTATCATCTCGTGCTATGTCCTCTGCTTAAAATGTTTATCTTGTAAAATTTCTCCTGTTTCACCCATGGAAATTCTCCCCAATCCTTCAGGACTCTTAGTAAAGCTCTCTTTATAAAGACTTTTCAGAGCCAACTGAGTGCAAGGGCTCTCTCTCTCTTTCTCTCTCTCTCTCTCTCTCTCTCTCTCTCTCTTTCTCCCCCCCTCCCTCTTTAAGGCATCTATCCTATTATCTATCCCTAGTTATCATAGCTCTTTGTTTGCCTGTCTGTTACCATCTTTAAAAAGTTTATTTCTCACATGAATTGCTTAAAAAGTGGGGGGAAAAATGTGTGTTGATTCAAACATGTACCACTTTCCAAAGAGATTTAAAGTTTTTCCCCCCTTAGTTCTTTGAAAACTTAAAGAGATGACATTTGAGTGCATAATTTCATATGTACATGAAATATACATTTCAGTGTGGAATTTTGACGTATGAGATTATTTTGGCAAAATCCAGTTTTATGGAATTTTAATTTTAATGCATTCCCATGAGAGAAACAAATGTCAGTTTAACAAATACCGGAATCTGTAGAGGTTAGTGTGAGTGCTTTTTTCTTCAGATGTTTTTTATGTATCACGTATCTACTCTATTCACAGAAGTAGGTCATAGTAACTCAGATCTCTTCACCTTAATGTTACCAAGTATGTGTTTTTGAATTTTCTTTTCTACCAAGGAGACCCTATACTTCAGGGTTCATGCTATGTGTGAGATCTTCAAGAGCAACAGAGAGACTGCTAAGCATTTTGTAAAGACTTGCCCATCCCATCTTTTCCCCAGGCACGGAGAGTGGGCCCATTAGGAGAAATCCGGCAGGAAACGTGGCTAGGCCCATGGTGCAACGTCTCCCTGAACCACAGGATGTCGCTCAGTGCCTAGAAGTTGGCTTGTTTGACACACCTCCTTTTTATTCCAATTCTACAAACAGTTTCCGAAACACAGTGGAAGGCAAGTAAACCAAAGCAGTGCTTTGAGTTGATGGATTCATCAGGTCAGTTTCTAAACGGAAGAATTCAAAAGCAGATCTCTTTGAAAGGGCTTTAAGAGCATAGTAATCCGGTGAGTTTATGTGAATGAGGTTACCTATTATTATATATCTGCGCAAAAAAGAGCTTTCTTAGAAGTGTCGCACCATGAAACTCTTTCATGTTTTTATGAAAGACGCCCTTGAACCTTTTTCTCCAATCTCTTAAGCACCTATAACTGTTTAAACTCAAATTTCTCAGAGCTATCTGGCCAATATGTGTCACGATATCAAGGTCAAGCATTGGCAAAAAATAGCCAAGACTTTGATAGCTTATTTAAAATTGTTTTATTTTAAAAATGAGAATAACAATGAAAGAATTTCACACAATTAGCTGACATTCAATAAAGGCTGGTTTGGGCATATGTTTTATTTAGATCTGTATCAACACATAACTTTGTTGAAAGTCTATAAAAATTCAAATTAGCATTTTCTGATATTTAATTTGGCTTTCCTTATTTCACACAAAGTATTTTAAAGCTGAGAAACTGAAAGCTAAGGAGGTGAAATGACTTTTCCAAGATATTCACCTAGTCAGTAGCAGAGCACAGATTCAAATCCAAGTTGTCTAAATCCAGTATCTTTATATAGTAAATTCTGACATCTTCAAGTCGTGCTTTATATTTAGCATTTTAAAAGGAATATGATTATATTTAACTTTATTTCAAACTTATTATTGTCAAATTTTCCCTTAGACCCAGCATTACACATATCAGAATCATTCCAGCACCGCCCTCCAAAATGAGAAGAGATCTCTCAGTCCTATGATCTGAAATCATTGATATATAAATCTGATTATTATTTTAAATTATGTTCCTATTTGTTCTAAAAATTGTATGTTATTTTTATCTATTTTGGTGCTTACTTTAATTTCAATGACTGCATGAATGCATTTATTTTAGCGATGATTTAATAAATAATCATTATATTTTAACTAAACTGGCATCTAAAACAAGGTTATAAGTGCACATTTCTAAAAGGAAGTACAGATTGTGTGTTTTTAATGCCCAAATAGAACACAGATTATACTGACTTCCTGAAAGAATGTTTGGAAAGACTAGTGCCAAGCTACATGCCATGTATATTATAGGCAATCTTTGGCTGCTTTTAAAATCAAACAGTAAGGGGATAAACCCGTGTAATCCCAGCTCAGGGATTTGAGACCAACCTCGGCAACTTGGTGAAACCTCGTCTCTACAATAAATAAATTTTTAAAAAGCCAGGCATGGTAGCACTTACCTGTAGTTCCCAGCTACTTGGAAGGCTGAGACAGAAAGATCACCTGAGTCCAGCAGGTCAAGACTGCGGTGACCATGAGCGTGCCACTGCACTCCAGCCTGGGCGACAGAGTGAGACTTTGACTCAAAAAAAAAAAAGACAAAATGGATCCATGAATAAATAATGACTATAATATACAATTACTCTTAAATTAAGAGAGAAGACGCTGGCATATTTTACGTTCTGATTTCAGTTTATCATGCATACCTTTTTCCTGATCTCCGACTTCTATTCCTTCAAGTCAGTCAGTCAGACATCCTGTATCATAGACCCTTTATTTGTATTTGTGACCTTACCTGTATCTATCCTCCAACTTCTCCCTTATATATGAAATACATAGAAATATATATCTGGAATAGAGATATTTATCACAAGTTCTATAAATGTTTTGACAGTCGGCTTTCCAAATGTTTAATCCTAGTACAGAGTTGGTAAAACAGTTCAGAGAAATTGTAACTTCTCTACAAAAGCAAAGTAATTTTCCCAAAATAAACATGCTGACGGCCATCTGAAAGGAATAAGGTGGGAAGCTGAAGTCACATCTGGCAATGTAAGTCTCAAGATAACCGGAATGCTGTTCTCCCAATTGTGTCAGCAGTTTTTAGTAGAAACTGGAGATTTCCACTATATTTCCACGTAGAACAATGCGTGCACTGTCAAAGTGGAATGTTCTATATATTTTGACTGGTATCCTTTGCAAGTCATTATTTTTAACCTTGAGGCTACATTTAGAATGTCATACCGCTAGCATAAAACGAACCTCGCTCTGGGTAGAGCAAGTGTCACAAACCATAGGTACAGAGAAGCAATGTTGTTATATTAAGGCAAAAATTGGCCTGACAGGCTTTGGAAAAATTGTTTCCCAATATAATCTTTGCTGTTGACTTGAAAAGTAAGATATTCGCCGTGGTTTTTATTATTCTCACCCCTGCTTTTGTCTCCAGGTTACAGTGATCCCACAGGGAAGTATGACCCGGCTGTTCGAAGCCTCCACAACTTAGCTCACCTTTTCCTAAACGGGACAGGGGGACAAACCCACTTGTCTCCAAATGACCCTATCTTTGTTCTCCTGCATACTTTCACTGATGCGGTCTTTGATGAATGGCTGAGGAGATACAATGCTGGTGAGACACTTTCCTGTGGCTTTTGCATACTCAGAATTATTTAGGTGGCGTAGTTATCTGCTTGGGCTAAACACTCAACACACAGAAGCTGCACTTCACATTAAGGATAAAACAGCTACACGATCTAGTCATTTCCAAGTATTCAGGCCCACTTTGAAAAGTCAGGCAAAACTTCTCCCAGAATGGTTATTATAAGAGGATATGTATTACCATTCACTAGACTAGCCAGACAATCCTTTTTTTTTTTTTTTTTTGAGTTGGAGTCTCACTCTGTCGCCCAGACTGGAGCGCAGTGACCGCTCCTGGCCACCGCAGCCTCGACCTGCTGGGCTCCGGCGATCCTTCCGCCTCAGCCTTCCAAGGAATTACAGGCATGCGCTACCACGCCCGGCTGATTTTTTGATTTATTGTAGAGATGAGGTCTCGCTGCCCAGGCGGGTCTCGAACCCGCGGGCTCAGGCAATCCACTCACCTCAGCCTCCCAAAGGCGTGGGATTACAGGCTGAGCCACCGAGCCCGGCCTTTTCTCATTTTTGATGTTTTCCAAATTTTTCCTCCCCTATCTGCCAACAAACATTCTCACTGCTTTTTAATATAAATGGGACAACTTAGCACAGTTCTTCTTTGATACTTCAAGAGACGAAAAATTGTATAGCCATGATCTATAGTTCTGATTTTTATAGTTTTACGGCCTCTCACAAACGAAAATTTTGTTCAGCTTGAAAAGTTAATGCTGATTTTGTGTCACACCACAGGAAACTTCTTTTAAGTCCAATACGTTATTTAAAATGCCATTTTAAAAGCCGCTTTCTATGCACTCCTACTCAGCTGAGAGGCTAGCAGTACTTTTCAAACAATGAAAGTGCTTCCACAGTTAAGACATCATAAATGTTCATATTTTGAAGCATTCTGAATTTTGGTTTCTGTGGCTTCACTTCATCATGGACATAAACATGGCATTAAAGGTTAACTATCTATTAATTTATTTATCCATTATGCCGGCTCTTATTTCCATTGTGTGTGTATGTGTGTGTACATGCGGTAAAAAGCCTCCAATCCAACTTGATCAGGACCATTATTTGATGGGTTAATTAAGAGTTTTTTGGGGTTTTTTCCATCAGAAAATCATTTAAGAAAAAACAGCACATAAATATTTGTTCAGTTGTCAATTGATTATGAATTCACTGGTTGAAGTTCCATCTCATTTTTCATGTGTATTTACCTGCACAACCGCAAGCAAACTGAATTACCTGCAACTCACAGTGTCAGTTTCTCCAAAATGAAACAACAAATGACTTCTGTAATGCAATGTGAGGGCAGTATTCTGGGGTCTTTACGCTCCCACAACCTTTAACAATCATATTGCCCCTTCTTATTCTTTAGCAATATTTCAGCACTCATCTTTAATAAATCTTCCCGGTGTCCAACTTATTAAAAAAAAAACATCCCTCTCTTTTTTACGATCATGATGATCAGTTTATGTGTGTTTAACTAGATTGCTTTTATTACAGGCACAAGTGAACTGGAATTAATAGGCCTAGGAACTAACAAAACCAGCTTTTGTTAAGCATATCCTTCTGGGAGCTGGAAACTAGGCAGTACTGTATAGGATGCGTTTATTCGATCATGCAGAATGCCACAGTGTTAATAAACTTTCCAGAAATGGGGAATCTTAGGTAATCTGAAAAGTCTCTTAGGCGTTTTCTTTCAACTGTGAAAACATGTATTACTTTGACTTACATATCTGGATTGAAAATATATTTCACATTTATAATAATTTGCTTAATGTTCTCCAGATTTTAATCTATATGCCATTGATGAACCAGAAAAATACCTTTGTTTCTTGTTTTTCTCCTGCTCTTTTTTTGGTGCTATATGTAGCATAAGGTTTCTCAGTTACCTGAATTGTAGTGGGAAGAGAAGTTACCATAATTAAAAATGGGAAACTATTCTACAACATATTTTTGATAAAATGTGGTCATAAAATTATAAGACAAGTCAATGTAAACACTTAAAAATTGCATGAAAGCTAAACTCAAACAATTAGTCTCCTTCTTAAATATCTCTTGTACCTGCAAATTCCTCTTTAAAATCAAAGCCATAAAACAACTATATTGGAAGAAAAGAAAAATTAAAAATTGAGAAAATTTCTAAAACTGTATATAAAACAATAGTTTTGTGAAAAATAAGTCTGGGAATGGAGGAAGAAATTATTTTTCAAAATGAAAAATGTTTGGTGGTGATGGTGGTGGTGTTTTAAGAGACAAGATATCGTTCTGTTGCCCAGACTAGAGTGCAATAACATGTTCATAGCTCAATATAACCTCAAACTCTTGGTCTCAAATGATCATCCTGCCTCAGCCTCTCAATTAGATGGGACTACAAGCACACACCACCATGCCTAGGGCAATTTTTGAAAATCATTAATTTTTTTTGTAAAAATGAGTTCTTACTATGTTGCCCAGGTTGGTCACGAATTCCTGGCCCCAAGTGATCCTCCCTCCTTGGCCTTCTAAAGCTCTGAGATTACAGGCATGAGCCACTGCGCCTGGCCAAAATGAAAAGACTTTTCCAGATGAAGAAGGCTCTTCAAAAATTGTTGAATTATAGAATTAGCAGAGTCAGAATGAAATAGGATTTATGTTTTACAGTTAAAGAAAACACAGTCATTCTCACTGGAATGCCTATTGCAGAATTTTTTCTTTAAACATGGAGCAGTACAACACAGAATTGCAACTCCAGTGATCACGATGTTAATTTGTACTCACTAACATTTTTGGCCACATCTGGGAAGGATCTTTTGCTGTTGGGGACACTCTGCAGAGTCTCAAGGTGGCACAGGGCACCACATGATAAGGGGTTGAGTTTTTATAAGGCCATCAGTTTCACTCCTGTGATAGCCCATTCATCCATGAGAGGATTAATCTTTTCATGAGGGCAGAATCCTTATAACACAATTACCTTTTAAAGACTCTACCTCTTACTATTGCTATATGAGAGTTAAATTTTAACATGAGTTTTGGAGGGGACAGATATTCAAACCATCAAACTAGGCTTCTCACATATCCTAGCTCTTCTAACTGTACCTTACTAGGGTCTGCCCAAGCCCTCTTCCAACTCTGATTTTGTGATATTCCATTTGGTACTTAATTGCATCAACATAAATATAGAACAAACCAAAAAAATCATCAATCTTTTGCCATAAAGATCCTTTCATTTATTTTATTCCTAATGATACACACTCACTGATAATATAAATACCCATGGCTTACGCTTAAATAGAATGAAGAGAGATAACCGGAAGGAAATTGGATTCCGGGACCCTGATTCAAAATGTTAATTATTTTTTTTGCTAACAGAATAAAATTCTGGAAATAAAATTAATATTGATTTATTTAAAAGTAAACAGAAAAAATAAAAATATTAAACAGAAATATTTATAATTAAGAGCAACTTGCAATAGATATACTTTATTTCAGATTTAATTTATAGATGACCTTACAGTAAATTATAGGTCCATCTTTTGGCTTTGAAAAATAATTTTAATGATTTTTTTTTCAAATTAGTTTCTATAATTTAAAAATAAGACAATTAATGATCATCATAGAGGATAAAATACTAAGACTCCCTGCTTTTAAGCTTTTTACTTCTATTCTGTTAAGTAATATGTTAGTACTATGTTCAAAGCATTTGAACTCTGCTTTATGGAATTCCATACTCTGCTGTAATGTTGGGAGCCAACATCTATAGCTACATGGCTGAGGCCTGTAAAGGCCCATCTGGAAGATCACCTCTGACATAGGATATCAGTTATACCTATAATATTGGCGTGTGATTAGTGACCAGTGTGCATACATGGCAGTAAAATTATAAGTAAATCTCAATACACCTGATGGAAAGTGCATAGCAGAATTATTTCTCTCTGTCTTTCTAAGTTTTTACTTCTTTCTAGATATTTTTTAACTTCTATTTCCTGGTAGACTGGTTAGTCAGCTTTGGAAAGCTATTTCCCCTAGGGCTAAGATTAGAAACTAAATTACCATGATAGTTTTGTCACCCTGCCCCTAGCCAGGCAGAACGTTTTCTTTTGTTTTGTTAATTACCGAAACTCTGTCTGCTTCAGCCCATGGCCGCCATCTTGGCAGCCATGCATTTTCCTTGTTCAAGAGTGTGACAGCTACTATTTTGATTTTTAGAGTAGACTTGTTAGGATAAAATATATACATATACACTCATAGTTGCGTAAATGTATGCTTGCTGTTTTGTTTCCTTTTGCTACATTATTCAAATATAATAATTACTATACGATTTATAAAAGAATTAATGATGAGGTATTAGCTTAATAGGATATAGCATAGTATTAAAGGTCAATCATTAGATTATATAAAAATTAAAGTTTAGACATATGAAACTCATATGAATTATAGTAAAGTTTGGTAGTTTAAGAATAAGTTTCAACTGAGTTATAAGGCATTACGTTAAATCGTAATAGGATAATATAACAGCTAAGTCACTTAACTAAACTTATAGATTATAGTATAGTGTTAAGTTGATAATATTAATCGTTAAAAATATTTGGAGTCAGTGAACTTGGATTGAACCTA